TCAGGTTGTTGTCAAGGTATAAGCCTAGGATTTTCCCCCATTATTTTGGTAATTTAGGAGTGTTGTCAATCTTAATGTTAATTTGTGCATCTCCTGCTCTGCTACCAAAAATAATATAGTAGGTTTTTTCAGTGTTAAGCGTAAGTTTTTTGGCTGTCATCCAAGTCGAATTTTTAATCAGCTCCTCATTCACAATGGTGTTGAGGGTGGCAAGATTAGGGGGAGAGATGACATAAGTCGTGTCCCTCAGCAAAGAGAAGGGGTTTTAGGTGTTGGGATACGTTTGGAAGATCATTGATGTATATGAGGAAGAGCAGGGGACCAAGGACACTTCCCTGCGGAACTCCAGTATCAAGTGGCCGTGTTGCTGATGCTGTGTCTTTAATGGTGACGTACTGATACCTATTAGTAATGTTAAAATGTGAAATAAGCAAGCGCAAAGGCCTCTTATACCGTAGTGGATCAAGTTTGTGGGAGTAGGATGTCGTGGTCTAAATGTGTCAAAAGCTTTTCTTAGGTCAATAAAAATTCCTAGTGGATATTCCTTTTTTTCCCAAAGCTGTGTAAAGCAGATCTAGCATTTTATGATTGCATCATTAGTGCTTTTATTTTTCCTGAATCCAAACTGGTGGGGGTTTAGTAAAGTTTTGAGCCTTTTAAATGAATACAGTCTCCTGTGCACGAGTTTCTCAAAAATTTTGGATGCAATGGTAAGTTTGGGCAATATTCTTGTTTTTTTTCAGTTTGTGGGTCCCTAGAATCTGAGGGGTGTTTTCCATGTCTTTTTTATATCCCCTCTTGTGTCAGTGAATCTACTGGAGTAGTATAGTTGTTTGGCTTTCTTTATTACTTTGGTGAGGACTGATGAATAGTGTTTAAGAATATCTTTGTGTATTAAGCCCTGTCTATATTGCTTTTCATTTGGTGTTTCTTATCAATGGATTTCGAATGGTGCTGGTTTAGCCAGGGCAACCAACCCGTTTGTTTGTGATCTGTTTTGTTTTTATAGGACAATGTTTGTTGTTTAGTCCTAAGTAATTTGTTAAGAAAAATGTCTGTCCAGTCATCAATACCATTGGCCTTGGAGAATTCTGTAGGCCAATCAACAGTCTCAGGTCAGCTGTGAACTTCCTTACTGAGGCCTCGTCATGGAGTCTAAATGGGACTTTGTTGTATTCAAATGGTGGTTTACTAATGTTTTGTCCCGGAGGAAGGTAGGGTAGTGGTCGTAGTGCTATCTGTGATTAAACCCTGATTTAAGGGGGGCTAGTATGTTGGTCCATATGTGGTTATTACGGTTTTCACTTGTCTCAGTGAGCCGGGTTTTTTTAGTTATTTGGTATGAGAAGTGTTTTGTTCAATTGTTGATGAAATCGTTAAGGTGATCATCTAGAAACCCAAAAGGTTGAGTTGAAGCCCCCAGCTAAGGAAGGGGGTGCTTATTCATTTGTCTGTTTTTTTTTAGTGATTTAATTTCTCCTGAATTTGGGTGTTTGTGTGAGGTATCGGTAATGGCCCCGATTGTTATAGGGCGTCTTAAAGGTTTTTTAAGTAAAATTAGCAAAAATGTATTCCCCATTTTTCATCACTAAAGCAAGGGGTGTAAACAAGAAAATTGGTAGAGTAATAGTTTGAAATCCCACCCCCAATTTGGGTTTTGTTCTGGTTGTGAATTGCGTGTACCCTGGTAGGGGGTAATATCTATTGTGCCTGTTTAAAAGCCAGGTCCAGTAAGAATAATCAGGAAAAGGGGTTTGTTTTTTAGTGTTAAAGGGAGTGCTAGGGGTCTCATGTGTTTGCTTAAGGACCTGATTTTGTAGTTAAGTATGATAGACTTTTAGCTTTGTTTAGGATGGGGGGTTTGGCTTGTGATGCGTGTAAAAAGGGCAGTTACTTTCCAATGGTTTTTGTTTGGGGGTGTGATTATGGAGGTTTAACAGGGTCAACGGATCAATTCTTCAGGTTTAAATTTATGGTTATTTATATCCTGGTTGTGGGGAGTTCTACTACGTTTCGTAGTGGTGGGAAGTTTGGACAAGTATATAGTAGAGTTTTTGGAATGGGGGGTATAGCCACTACTCAAAATGAAGTTGATGTTGTTATGTTGTGCGGGAAATAAAACTAAAGTACAACTAGGATAAATGAATATAAAAATCAAATTAAAAAAAAGAACAAGATCTCACTTGTAATTACACTAAGGTCTAATAAGACTTGGGAGTCTATGTTTTTGACTAGAGTGAGAAAAATACAAAGGTTTAAACTAATAAATAAAAGTACAAATTTAAAAAAAAGCACTGTCTCTCCTAGTAAAATTTCACTTGGTCTAATATAGTGATTTGGTATTGACTATGTTTGAGGTAGAATGAGCTATGGTTCAACTGAATTTAAACTAATAATATAAAAAAAACAAAATTTAAAAAAAGACCAGTCTCCATAAAATAATGGGACTAGGTCTAAAATATGAATTTGGTATTGACTATTATTGAGCTAGAAAGGTATAGTAAACAACTTAGTTAATAATTAAAAATACAAAAATTCAAATAGCACCAGTCCTACTAGTAATTGCAATGGGCTAATATAGTGAATTTGGGATTGACATGTATTAGCTAGAAAGAGCTTGTAAAAAACTTTAGTTTTAATAATATAAAAAAAAAAATTAAAAAAAGCACCAGTCTCCATAGTAATTTCACTATGGTCTAATATGTGAATTGGTATTGACATGTATTGAGCTAGAAAGATAAGTAAACTGGGTTTTGTTAATAGTATAAAAAACAAAATTTCAAATAGCCCATCCCCACTAGTAAATTCACTTGGTCTAGTTAGTGAATTTTTTATTGGACTATGTATTGAGTAAATGGCTAGAGTAAAACTGTGATTAATCTAATAATATAATAAAGGAAAAAGACTCTCAAATTGTAAATTTCACTAAGGCTTAATAAGTTATTTACAAAAATTAGAGATAATTAGATTTAAATTGACAGGATAAAATACACAAATTAAAGGGAGCAAAATAAAAATAAAAAAAAAAAATACCACCACCCACACCCCACTCGCTACACAGGAAAGCATAAAAGTATCGTACAAAAACCAACACATTTAAAAA